GGAAAGAAGGAAGGGGGGAGGTGGGAGGGAGGGAAGGAAGGAAGGGGAGGAGGAGAAGAGAAGGAAGGAAAGAAGGAAGGAATGACAAATGGATGGAAGGAAGGGAAGGGGAGGAGAAGAGGAGGAAAGAAGGAAGGTTGGAAGGAAGAAGGGAGGGAGAGAAGGAAAGATGGATGGATGGAAAGAAGGAAGGGGGGAGGTGGGAGGGAGGGAAGGAAGGAAGGGCAGGAGGAGAAGAGAAGGAAGGAAAGAAAGAAAGAAGGAAGGAATGACAAATGGATGGAAGGAAGGGAAGGGGAGGAGAAGAGGAGGAAAGAAGGAAGGTTGGAAGGAAGAAGGGAGGGAGAGAAGGAAAGATGGATGGATGGAAAGAAGGAAGGGGGGAGGTGGGAGGGAGGGAAGGAAGGAAGGGGAGGAGGAGAAGAGAAGGAAGGAAGGAAAGAAGGAAGGAATGACAAATGGATGGAAGGAAGGGAAGGGGAGAAGAAGAGGAGGAAAGAAGGAAGGTTGGAAGGAAGAAGGGAAGGAGAGAAGGAAAGATGGATGGATGGAAGGAAGAAAATGTTACAGCCAATATTACAACCACTCTGGAGAAAGTGACCTATGACTATTTTTCACACTTACGACCATGGCAGCATCTCGTGGGCAGGTGATCAAAAGTTGGGGGCTTGGCAACCGGACTGTATTTATGGCAGTTCCAGCGTGCGGGGGGGAGGGGGGGAGTGTTACGCGATCTCCTTTTGCGACCTTCTAACGAGCAAAGGTCAGATCCACTTAACAACCATGTGACTCTCTTAACAACTGTGGCAAGAAAGGCCGTAAAATAAAGCCAAACTCACTTCACAACGCACTTGGCGTTGGGCCTCAGTCGCAGTTGTGAAGTCCAGGGCTAGCGGTAGTTGAAGCTTCTGGATACTCTTCAAGGGCAGCCCCATGTACAGCACATCGCGGTAGTCCAGATGGGAGGGTGGCCAGCACGCCAGGAATGGTCAGACCGGGTGGGTCGCGGCCATGCCGGTCCGTGGACTACTCAGTGAGTAAGTTTTCCCTCTCTGTTGCAGACGATTCCTCCTCGGAGAGCTGCAGCGGGAATGGCTCGTCCACCTTGAACCCTTCCACCTCCAGCAGCACTCAGGGCGATGCCACCTACACCGAGGTGAACGGCAATGGAGCGGGCGCCCCCATGGATTTCAGTGCCTCGTCGGAGGACCAGCCCATCAACCTCTGCGACAAGTTGGCTCCCGCTCACGTCGCCAACGCCTACCAGTCGGACAGCTGCAGCGCCGACGGCCTGCGCAGCCGGACGAAGTATGGCGCCAAAAGCACCACAGAGGTGGGTTCCGATGCGCCCCTTAGCCCAGGCGCCGCTGCCACTAGCACACAGCTGTGAATCCCCACGACCTGTTGTGGCCTCCGGTAGCCGAATCAGAGGAGGAGGTGGTGTGGGAGTCAGGGTCAGCATCAGGGCAACCTGAGAGGGGGAAGAGGGGATGGAACTGGCAGGCACGGACGGAGGCGGGGCCTGGGCCGTCCGTCATCCCTGCGATGGAGACTCAACAGCTCCCAGGTCTGGAGGGGGCTGATGAGGAAGAGGGGAAACAGCTGGGTCCAGTGCCTGATGCGTGAATGTGCAGAAGGCAGAGGAGAGGAGAGCAGTGGAAATCTATGGGCCGGTCTTTGGGACGGGAGAGTCACCGCTGCTAGCGAAGCCCCTCCCTAGCTCTGGGGATCAAAGGCAGGGGGCGGAGAGGAATAGATGTGGCAGAGGAGAGGAGAGCAGAGCAGTGGAAATCTATGGGCCGGTCCTTGGGACGGGAGAGTCACCGCTGCTAGTGAATCCCCACTCTATCTCTGGGGATAAAAGGCAGGGGGCAGAGATGAATAGATGTGGCAGAGGAGAGGAGAGCAGTGGAAATCTATGGGCCGGTCCTTGGGACGGGAGAGTCACCGCTGCTAGTGAATCCCCACTCTATCTCTGGGGATAAAAGGCAGGGGGCAGAGATGAATAGATGTGGCAGAGGAGAGGAGAGCAGTGGAAATCTATGGGCCGGTCCTTGGGATGGAAGAGCCACTGCTGCTAGCAAAACCTCTCCCTAGCTCTGGGGATCAAAGTCAGGGGGCGGAGAGGAATAGATGTGGCAGAGGAGAGGAGAGCAGTGGAAATCTATGGGCCGATCCTTGGAACGGAAGAGCCACCACTGCTAGCAAAGCCCCTCCCTATCTCTGGGGATCAAAGTCAGGGGGCGGAGAGGAATAGATGTGGCAGAGGAGAGGAGAGCATGGAAATCTATGGGCTGGTCCTTGGGACGGAAGAGCCACCACTGCTAGCAAAGCCCCTCCCTA